AACTCCTCCCAGGGAGTTTTTCAGAATCTGGGTAGCTACGAAGGCTTCTGAATAATTAAGATGTATGATGGGAAACACCAGTACTAATAGGAGCATCCTCTGCTATCTCTAACAGTACAGCAGGTTCAGCTCCACTTTCAAAGAATTTTGAAAGAAATTATCAGGAATCCTGAGAATAAGGTACAAAAACATAAGCATTTTTTTGCTGTATTAGAAAACTAAAATTTATGAGTTTTTGGTGTTCTCTCATGAAGCCTTACAAGATTTGAAACAAGAATGCCAAAACCTCATGGTATTTTATGTGAGAAAGCTCAAGATATTGGTATTCTCGCAAAGTTTTGGTTATTTTAATACTTTAAAAAAATGCTTTTGGATGTGGCTATCCAGTAGCTGAAAAGATTGTCAGTCCTTCATACAAATCAAAGGTGGACTACACAATTTATGCTGGCTCTGCTAGGTCTTTAACCTCTCATTTGGACTGATTGAAATTCAGTATAGGCAAGAGAATGGTTTTGGAAATGCCAAATAGATTATTTGAACAGAATGGCCAAATACTATAGACTTCTTGAAGAAAATAATTTTGGCAACCAGATCTCTGTCTGAAAGAACCTGAAGTTTTATCTGCAACTAAGCTAACCGTATCTTAAATAATCACAAAATATAACTAAACAGTATGTAACTGTATATAGAATACATATTACAATACATCCAATTTATTTGGATGCTTATTCTAAATTATACTAGAATCCTTGCCTTACCTTTGCTTTGTATCAAGATTAGCAGAAGAAGAACCAAGAAATCAGCTGGATCCAGGAGGGTTTTCTCAGTAGCTGGTATTTATATGCTGTCCTGATGACCTGGTTTTATTTATTAAAAATATAATCATAGGTTACATGAATCAGAACTTGGAAAACACCTGTTGGGTTAAGAATTTGGGGTTTTGTGACTTACCTACAGAAATCCCTGGATGAATGTTTCATCTTGACACAAAACTTGCTGTGAAAAGAATTTGCTCTAATTGATTTATGTTACATATTTTTCCATATGGCTAGAAATACCCAAAGTACAATTTGAAAACATTTTGTAATAAAGAGCCTTTTAAGGATGTTTTTAGTTATTGAAGAAGGGCTGCCTATGGTGTTTTGCCAGAAGAAAGCAAGAAAAGGAATTGTACCCACCTTACATATAAAGAAACTGACTGGATTGGTAATTGGACCTTATTTCAATGCTGGAATGGGATACTGTTCTCATTATATCATCATCCATTAATTTAGTGGAGGGGCTGGGAGGAAGGAATGGCATCTACAGCTGGAATAACCAAAAGGAATATCATTACTTGGATAGCATCCTGCAACTTCTCCCTGAGGAAGTCACCCTAGGTTGCATTATTATAGGACCAGCCATTACAGTAAGAAAAAGACACTATTAATCAGTTGTTTTCTTTTCTACAGACAGAGAAATGTAATTCAACTCTTTCTAATAATATTAACTAGAATTACTAATGAATGTTTACTAATGAATTACTCATTATGTTTGGGAGATCATGATTTCTAGACTAGGCCTTTGGCCTGCCAGTGTCTTCAAGCATGTCCAGATGCTAGTGAGCCTCTCAGCAAAAGTTCATAGATTCTTCAACTGAATAGTAAGGTGATTATTACTTATTATGTTATTTCACTGGGAATATTCTGCCATGATCTACTCTTTTAGATATACAGTACATGGAAAATTTTTCGATATCTGAATGTTATGTTAAATGTGGTTATTGGGTTGGCCACAAATTGATGGCATTTCTCAACCTGGGTGTGAACCTATACTTTTTATCTAAAAAAAGAAAGAAATTGTTCTATACAAAATAAAAAGAATAAAAAGCTTTCCCAGATTACTTCATAATATGCATTTATTAGGGTTTCTTAAAAAAAATAATGGAATAAATAAAAGAAGAATGTCTTTCTAACATATCTAAAATAATTTATACAACCTGTGTGTTTTTCTGTTGAAGGGTAATGTCGAGGTATATACTGTAGTGCATATTGTTCAGGCGCATAAAAATACATACCAAGAAGACAGAATTTCCTGGGCAATAAATTGTTTAACAGTTCTAAGGACCATCGAATAGATCTTGTCCTGTAGCAAATATTGGAATGATTAGAATGATTGCATTGGAGGTCAATGTAAGTAAATTCCATTAGTCACAATAGGTAGGAATACACAACTAGGACTGCTTTATAAGGGGCACAGTTGGATCTCTGGACAGAATTTTTCAGCACAGAATCATAGAATTAGACAGGACCATTGCCCAATATTCAGTGCAGGAGTCCAAATTGAAGCAACCAAGACAAATGGCTGTTTTGTTTCCTCTTGAACACGTCCTGCAAAAGGGAGGCAACCAATTCTTTCACTCTTATTATTAGCAAGGTTTTTCAAGCATTCATTTGGAATCAACTCAGCCAAACATTCTCTATGCTCAAGTAGCTTGTTTACTTTGAAAGCTGATTCTCTGAGTCTTTGCCAATCGGTAATTCTCTTTGCAAAAACAATCCCTGAACAACACAAAATCCCTCTGTGAACTATTAGTGATATCATATGCCACAAATAATTATCTCTTTATTTCAATCTTCCATACCGCTCTGAGTATCTGTTCTACAGCTGTAGAGAGAGGTAGAAGTAAGCTTGTTAAACACTTGATCAGTTGTAGATTCAATGTTAGGATCTATCAGTACTAGAATCAAGAACCTTTGACTTAGCACGCAGCTGCCTTGTGCGACAAGTAATCAAATTGGAGGTCTGTTTGGCAGCAATATACTCTTCTACGCTGAGTTGATTTTATCTACCATAGTTGGCCATTGGGTCCTACTGGAGCTGTAAACAACTTCCTGCATGACCTGGGAAATTGACTGGGCAATAGGATATACCTGGCTCTCATATCTTTCTGTATATCTCTTCACCTTGATCTCTTGGGTCATTGGTCACCTCTAAACTGATACCTACTACAGCTCAACCTTGGCACTCAGGTACAACAGTAAAGGCAGTATAAAAAGAACGGTATTAATTCTCACAGCAAGGACTCTCTTTCATCCTCCCCCAGCATTATATTTTGTATTCTGTACTTATTTAATCTCTTCCATTAGTAACTGTTGTTTTGTAAGGGATGGATTAAAAAACCCTAAGGATGGTATAATGGCTTTAATTTAATTTGCATATTAAATGTTATAATGACCTTAGTTTAATTTGAGAATAAAGCCAGCAAATGTTGGGTTCACTTATGTGGAGAGGCCACAAAAGTGGAGAGGCCACAAAAGGAGCAAAGGAAAATCACTTTTCACTAATTATGAATAAAGGTGCCATTTGAGCCTGTTATTTTAATTGTGGTTTGTCTAAATATGCCAGCTTCCTTGTTTTGTTTATTGATCTGATTTTGATTTTGCCCAACTCCAACCAACTCTGGGAGGCTCACAAAGTAAAGAACAACACAAAAACAGGAGGTAAATAAGAATACCCCAGTACACTTGATATTGGTTTGCTTCAAGCAGGGTATGGGTAGGTTTAATCACAATTTCTCAAGTTCAGATGATGCAATGAACAGTAGTTTGTCTAAATAGGAAGTACAAGTACAAGTACAACATAGACTTCTTATGGGTCTGTGCAAAAAAGGTTTGTCATTATGGCTGAATACAATGACTAGGTTATCTCAGCTACTGCAATGTGTGAAATAGAGTAGGCATGCTGAACTGTGCCTTAATTTTACATACATGCATTTAAATGCCTGTACTTTAAATGTAGGAGCCACTCCACACTTCACAAGATGCTCTAAGGAAGCAAGCAAGATCTGCCAAGACTTAGCAAATTATATTTTAACAACAAGGCATTTCCTAAACTAATACATAATAAGAAGGGAACAAAATAAGGAAGCTGATTTTTCAAAAACAAGAACATGATTTTTTTGAAAGTATAAAAGAGTTCTGTTGTCTTGCAACTGCAAATGAGGAATGGGTGGAAAATCATTATTTTGGACATCAGGTTCAGGACCAGAGTAAAAACTTTACATCCCCAGTTCTGTCTTCAGAAATTTGGCTAGCCCCATTGTTATTTCCCTGGAATCCCTGCACCAAATATTGGGCAGGCGTAAGCCACTTTTTGTGTAATGCCAAGTAGTGACATAATATCAAATCATGGCATAATGGGGAATTTAAATGACATTACCTCACTGGGTTCATAGGTTCATCCCAGGTTCCTTTCATATATAAGTCACCATATGAGGTACAAATTATTTTGCAGCCATAATAACCATCATTTGCAGACTGAACATATAGCTATCTACCTATTAAATCAGGAGGAATTCTGTGATGTTCTGTGATGTTCTAAAATCCTGAGATTCTGATAATATATAACAAGAAATTGGCATGATGTATTGACTCTGTGTGTGTGTGTATGTGTGTGTGTGTGAATAACACTTGTCCTAATCCTAGTAAATCCAGAAACTTGCTTTGTAATGTATAATGATTATACAGGATTTATTATATTTATGTGAGATTAACTAGTGGATACAACATATATTTTAAAGTCTTTCCATTCTGAAATTTCATCATAATTAAAGTCTCAGCTTGAGAAATACCCAATCCTCTTCTGCTGGTGGCTCTTCTATGGTTTTTGACAGAGCTTAGTCATAATTGTTATGGTTTTCTATCAGATTTCTCTACATATGGTTCTCAGCATGCATTGCCCTTGATAATATTTAGCTAGCTATTCTAGATCTGACAAAGGAGTACTGATAGCATCATGTTCTGGAGATGTTGTCTCCATGAAGTCTAAATCAGTTCAAGAAGGTTAGGCTATGGGTTGTTGGAATTGGCTTAATTGTTTACTACTATACATTGTGGAAGATACAATCCAATAGGAGATCCTATTTGCGGCAGAAGTCCCATGGCTGTTTAGGGAAATTCCATCTTTTGTCACCTCAGAATGCTGACACCCTCTAAATTTACTGCTTTTACACTCCTATGAATGAAAGTCTGATAATGTAATAAAGTCAAAAGGGCTTTCCCTCACAGTTTAATCTAACAGTTTAACCTAACCACAGTTTGAATATCCCCTAACATTTCCTTCTGCTGTGTCCCCATGATGCTGCCTTCATCTCATCTTCAGCTTTTGCATGAAATAGCCTTTGGTCAGCCAGCTGAATTGGTGTCAGGGCCTTTTCTCACTGCTCCATTGAAGTACTATCTATCCACCATTTATTTGGCAGAAAAGTATATCCCTATAACATTTTTTGCCCACATTGTTGATTTCTAACCTACATTAATTGCATGATTCTGCTGCCAAATGGTGCTCTGACTTTATATCTGCACAGTACACTAAGCAAAGGGATTGTCAACTCTCCTGTTACTCCATTCCCACCACATTGCTAATCGATCATTGTCAGGACTGATGGCTTTTTCTCATGGGGAGGCCAAGTTGTGAACTGAGAAAAGCAGCAAAGCCAGAAGATTCAGCCAATTGCTTGGCTTTCTGTGTTGCACAATAAGAATTCAGGACAACATCATTTGGCAAGCAGCCAAGTATTGAGGCAAAAAAGAGCATCAACTCAGCAGCTGGGAAAGGTCCAAAGGCAAATGAAAGAGTGGCATTATGGCTTAAGAATTAAAGGTAGTCAGTGTTGGAAGGGGGGGATTTCTAAATAACCATGGTCAATCAACAGAACTAGCTCCAAGCTTGAGAGTTGTCCTCAGCAAATGCTACCATCTGCTCTCTCCCTGTCCCACCCATACCCATACCAGATTCAAAATGTTTCCTAGCTTGGCTCATAATGCTAGGCTAGGTATTGAGGTAGTGGCTCAAACCCTTTCAATTTGATTTCCTTTAATAATTGTCCAGGAGTTACAAATAACATTTGTTTCTCTGAGGAGCAACGTTTTGTTCAGTTCTTGTTCTAATACAAATTACTTCTAATTTTCAAGCTAATATACAAGCAGGAGTCAGTCATCTTCTGAAACGTGTTACAAATATATTGCTTTTTCACAAGACTTTTGAGCATTGTATTAATGGAAATCATTGTAAAATAATGGTGATATTAGGCAAATGTGCTTGCAGAAATGTATCTAAGAGAAATGTGCACCAAAATGTCATCAAATATTATTTGACACCCCTCCCTCCCAACTAACTTAAATGGATATATGAAGTGATGAGCCAAACTCAATATTGGAAAAAAACGTTGGGGTAAACTGAAATTGACAGAACTGACCACTTTTACTTAAAAAAAAAAAGTAAGAATATCATGTTTATAGTCAATTGAATGTTTACTGTGTTGTGATTAGAACATAATCTCTTACACCTATTTACAACTCTTAATCCTATGTATATCAAGCTTTTACCCGTTTCCTCATCCAGCTGACAACCACATTCTCATTATTATTTCATACTCCTTTCTATTCCACTTCCTACTTAATTTACCATGACATCTCCAAGTGCTCACTTCC